ATATGCTACGGATATAATCTGTTGCCAGTCCAATGTACGCTAACCCAGACAAATTCCCACTAATTTTAAAGCTTAGCTCATCGGCAACCGGACAATTTAGAGGAACTAAAGACACCTCCCTTACTACAAAGTTTGGACACCCCTGTGCTATGTAAATGTGCCATGCAAATGAGAAACGCTTGTAAAGGTCACTTGAGTCGCTCTTTTCGTTCTACAATAAAACAAGTCTTCTGCTTTGCTCACAATAGAGCTTCATACTTTCATACATTTGTAAGTGCCTGCGTACCTTTGAAGGCACACTCGACTCCCTGTTCTTGTTTTTATTCAACCAACTTAATTATGTATGATTATTATTGTAGTCGCACAACGGGGAGGGCTGGAAACTCATCTCATTTGTATGTAAAGAAATCATCAAAACAGTATGAAACCCGGTAATTCACAAGTCGCCCGATTCAGGAAGAAATGAGAAACGCTGCTGCTAGTGTGTTTTTTAATTTGGTCGTAGAAAAATTAAGAATGCCCTTATATAAATACAGAAAACATGAACGTCTCTTTTAAGTAAGCATGTTTGACAAAGTTTGCCTCCACTTACACTTACCCACTACAAGACTACTTTATCATTTGCATAATCAGATCAAAGTTCCATCTTCTTGACCATGTTCCAATAGCCGCGGGTCACACACGCCGTCGCTTTGGCCAGCTGTCTGAGTGGAGAGGCTGTTGACACTTGCCAGAGGGAGCAAACACTGCAATTACCACTCCGGCTGGAACTACTGCTGACAGTGTGGACCGAGCTCCATGTGGCGATCACATGGAGCTCGGTCCAGGTGTTAATAACGATACAACGCTAGCGCAAAAGCCATGAAGCTGAACATACACTTGTTTATCCAGCTTCTTTTGTCAATCTCACTGCATAAGCATATTTAGAATCTTGTCCTGTTTGAAGGTATGTGCAAGTACATAATAAGTTGTTTTTTTATCAACTCCAAAGATCAATTATTTTGCTTGTTTGGAAGGATCTACATTACCAGGTGATTTTCATTTACACAACATTCTGGACACACACACCCTTCTTGTTTTCCCACTGTGTTTTTTATATATTGAAAAATTCTAATGCAATCTTTTCCTAACCTGAAAACTTACAATGTAAAAATAAAATAAAAATAAACTATATGAAGTGCTTTATGAGAATGTTTTATTTCATTTGGAATGACCCAGGGCTACTTTTTACAGATAAAAACCGGCGTGGAGAAAGACATCTCTCTCTGAAATCTCTCTTGAATGAAAGTGAGTCAATAGAGACAAGCGTCATTGTGATGCATTAGTATTCATTTGTTATAGTTTATAGGCATTTAAAAGCGATTATGTATACATTCTGAGAGCTACTTACTGCTAATTTACACAGGACGCGTTACAGCACGTACGCGTAACCAACTTTTTTCCATGTTAACAGTTTGAGGCTTGTCTCTATTATTGACTCATTACCAGTTAAATGAAAATCAACTGGTGATGTAGGTAGCAAAATAATTGATCTTCAGAGTTTATTTACGCTACTGGTGTTATACGCGCGTGTGAGGGACGTATGACGCGTCTCCCCTTGAAATCACATGTAAAACATGATTTTTCTTGCGGTCCTTGGCTCTAAGTCACATCTACAGCACTTTTATCTAAACATTAGCAGGAGGAGCGGGTTTTACAACGATTCTGGACATCTTTTTTTTTTCATAAAGTCTTGCTTCTGGCCAAACCAGCGAGAGAGAGACAAACACATGCATGTGATTTGTGTTGCTCTACATCAGTCCTCTGGCCCGTACTGTCCTCTACACTGCTCCATAGACTACCCAGTGTAGATACACCCAAATAATGTTACGTGCACATGTGTGCAGTCAATGCGTACGCGCTGTTAATGCCTACCGTGTAAATTCCCTGTTAGGAGGGAAAGGTAACTCCTATAGGTTACGGGCAAGGGGTTCTCCGGTCTTCTTTGAATGTTTCCATCATTTGATTGTTTTCTATTGGTAAATCCACCAGCAGCAGCTAATAATTCAGCTCTAAAATTGGCACCGAACTCAAAACATTCAGTAGGTTCCAGTAACAAAATTGGTCAGAGGCCATTACAGTCGTCCCAGCATTGCTCAGTTCTCCTGTCAATAATGTGTCACACTTGCTCCATCTGCTCTGAGTGATTCCTGCATTACCACCAATAAGCTAGCGTTACACCACTCAATCAAATCCGTCACAGGAGACAAAATCAATATTCTAAAAAGCTTTTCATAATCATGCTACATTGTCAAAACCACAATTTGTATCTCCATCGTTTTATTCTTTGCCAAAACCGCATGTCCAATAGCTTCGGCCAGAAAAATGCTTGGCTCCAATCACTGAAAACAATAAACATGTTTAAATCAGAATAGAAACTCATCGTATGGCGCCAAGAGAAGAACAAATCAATGTCCAGGAGTCAACGAAGACACAGTTTGCCCAAAGTAATCCACTAAATCAACCAGTTTATGACATTTTTTAACACTCCAATTCCAAAGTTAAACTCAAAATAGGGTTAGGAGAATAAGTGTCTCCTTACTATGCTTACTTGTCCACAGGTGCGGTGGCTTGCGCTTCTATTTCAGATGCCCCCCGGATGCCTCCCTATGGATATTAGATACAACGATCCCAGGACAGGTTTAGAGGGACTATGTCTCTCAGCTGGCCTGGGAACACCTCAGGATTCCCCCAGATGAGCTGGAAGAAGTGTGTGTGGACAGGGAAGTTTGGGTGTCTGGGGTTTTTCTGTACAACTAGGACAATTGGTAAACAGAAATGTAATCGGTATTTGCAGCAAAAGAGAAAAAATCAGATGAACAAATCCAACAATTCCAACTTGATGTGAAGCAGAGCCCTGTGGTTTGTTGTGCTTGTTTGATTTGCCATACTATACACATGGATGAGAATGACTTTGCATTGTTAATAATGGCTGTAGAGTTTAATTTTTTTAATCAAATTCAGTTGGTGGTGTGCCGTGTGATTTTTTTGCAATGACAAAAGTTGCGCCATGGCTCAAAAAGTGTGAAGAACACTGCTCTAACACGTTGAAGCGTCCCAATGTACTTCGACCGCAACAACAGCGAGACAAGACCATGTTGTTGTGATGGACTGGTTATGTAACACTCAGGTTAACCTAAATTTAACACAATAACAAGGCCAAAGAGTTTACAATAGAGATGAAAGAAACTGAGACCGGGACGAGAAACCCAAAGAGTGGGAATTCTATGTTCTGCTGATTATTGCCAAACGGAATAATGCTCGCACTGAAGGCAAAAGCATGTTCTAATAAATAACAAGTGACAAGGCCACAGTAGAGCTCGGAGGCATTTAGCGGAATATTTAGCGGAATATTGAGCCGTAATATGGGACTGTAACATTTCTTATGGGGCAGCTGGTCATGCCTATAAAAGACTGATGGATAGAGCTGACTCTGGGCAAGGCACGCTCTAATTTGGACCCACTTTTAACTCCCCTCATTAATAATTATTGGGTGATTTCATATGGCAAGACACAGCCGCCTGTCCCACACTTATCAGCGTAATTACCCATGAACAAAAGTCAATGTCAGATAATGAGAAAATGGACCGGAATTTCCGCGACTCCATCGAGTTGAGCCAGCGAGTCGACAAAGCGCTGTACTTGCTTCAGATTATTATGTGTACACAAGGTCACATCCGAGTTGTAATGTTGTTGTTTTTGCTCGACTTGCGTGTATCGGTGGCTGTAAAATATGGACATGCTCGACAACAATGTATACCTGGGACTAGACGCTCAAAAGTCATGCATCATTCAGAGATTTAACCTGCTCACGGAACACAAGTTTAGATTAGCACTGCTGGTACAATGCATCTCTCCTTTTGGCTAATGTTTATTGTACACTGTCCCTGTAAAAATAAAAAACATACCATATTAAATAATTTGACGTATAGAAGACATAGAAGAATACAGCAAATCAAACAAGACCAACATTATTAAAGCAGCATGTCTTTCTTTTTAATGCCGTGTCCACACATAGACAACAATACGGATAGTTTTGAAACGAACAAAACCATTTCTGTAATTGTGTGCATCCACATGAAGCTGAAGAGTCAATTAGCTTGAGAGCAGTGTAATGCATGTACCAGGCCTGTGTTGCCTCAGCAGGGAACACCAAATCAGACAAGAAAGTGGTCTTAACACACATATGGTGATACAAAAAGTGGGTTTACGTCTTTGCATTCTGGCTCCACGCTCTGACTGCGGAAGCAAAAACACACTATGAAACCGTATGATGACCTTCCTCAAGTCAAAAACAGCTGAGGGCCTAGTTCAAAACACAGTTCCTGGCTCAACGCTAAGTTCTGCTTGTGTGTCCAGTGGGGGCGGGTGTCGGCTCAAAAGGGTCCATGAGCATCTGCGCTGACATCCTTGTAATCTGGCTCCTTGCCGGTGGTGGTGTACCCGGAAACAGAATTATCCAGTGCGTTTTGAATGTCGCCTTTTTTCTTCTTAAAAACAGCTTTACAACCTGGTCCAAAAGTGGTCTCTTGGATCAACTCTATGGCGGAGATTGGCGTCACTACATCTGTTGTATTTACTGTCTGTGGTCAATACTGCAGTCTGTGGTCAATACTGCAGGAGGTGCATAGGATCACTGAAAGCATGTGTTCACTCTGTTTTCCTACAGCAGCGGTGGCCACCAGCTGCACTAAGGGAGGACACTACATGAATCAAAGTCTATTTCTTATAATGCAAAAGTAGGCCACATCATAGTCCGTAATATTTACTGCTTATATATACCCCCTCAAATAAACAGCGCTAACACTGTCTGTCTGTGCTCGTGTGCTGCCAGAATTGGGCCAAATACATTTGCTGATACGCTTGAGATTAGCTTTAGGTGGACTTGGCCTAAAGTAGGTATTCAGTATCCTTTATGCAAAGTACTCCACTCTCCCATCACACATTCCGGTCCAGCCCTGTCAGTGCGAGGAGGCAGATGCTAGTACAGCGGACCTCAGCCTGCAGCAGCCTCCGGGGCTCGTCTGGAGATTCAGCGCTCTGGGCCAAACATCCTGCTTAAATCTGACTCTATCCACTCCCTGACCTGTGATGCCTCCACAGGGCTGGTCTCTGTCTGCCACACTGAACATATGGATGTCCAGAGTGTAATTATAGCGGAGGGTGCGACAGTGTACATCGCACAGGGGTTATAGCCTGAAGCAGCTGATGCCACATGCTACAGGCTTATGCTCTCTACAACCCCTAGTTAGCTATAGGATATCAATAGTTATTCAATTCAATTCATTCTAGTGTAGCCCTAAATCACAACAGTAGTTTTCTCAGAGGGACTTTATAAAATGTTAGAATTTTTAGAGAATCAAAACAGTTTAAACACAAGAGGCGCTTTGTGTTAGCCTGTGTAACCCCTATAAAAGATTATTAAATATTAAAAATTTATTATTATTTTATTGTTATTATATGTACAAGTTGCGCTCCTTAGGTCAGCCAATCACGCCAGCTCTGTTGGTCGCGTGATGCACGTGAGTCATGTGACCAAGTAGTTTTAATCATGGCGGCTCAGGCTGCCGGCAGGCAAGGGGGACGCATTTTGACAGGCTGCAAGAGGTCAGTAAACAGTCAGTGAACTTATCAAAATATACCTTCTGTGTTACCATCCACTGATGTATTGCCAACCTTCGTAGATGTGTGGACGTGACGAGCTGTTTGAAACGCGCTGAAACAGAGTGACGTGTTTAAATTGCACTGTGTATCGGTAAGTGTTACCTGCCGAACCTATAGCCGCACTAGCGGCTAATGCTAATGTTGTGCTAACGAGGCTCCATTCATTGTAAAGGTTAGCTTAGCATTAGCGCTGCTATCCCATTCATTTGTATGGAGCAAACGGTAAGCTGCGCTCCACCCGTTAAAGCACAGTTGTTTAACTTTGAAGTTACGGTTGTAACTTAGTTCTATGAATACTTAAACTTTGTAAATTAGTACAGAGCAATGAATTTAAAGTGTACTTGTCATTCACTTAAGATGTTTTGAGTCTTTTACATGCATGTATTTTAGAAGTTTTGAGAATTTAGAAATGAATTTGACTATTTTTGATATATTAGCTAATGCACTGGTCCTGTTACTCACAGGCCAGGTCTTTTCTGGTATCCTGAACCAAATCGATGGCGAGCTTGACCCAGGAACCTGAGCATCACAGCATCTGAGCCCACTACTCCACCTGTGCGGTAGGAGATACACACTCTGAGCCTTTGCCCCCTGTTCTCACTCCGCGCTGCTCCATTCTCTATGTTGGAGGCCTTGGTTTGACTGGACATCTTCATCAATCCAGTATGAACATGAACATTTGCTCCTTCTATTGAGAACACTTTTGGAACTCTGGGAACTTTGGGAGGGATCTTGTGGCTTGGGCAAAGTTGTACGCCTTTTGCTGTTGTGAAATATGCGCATTTATTTCTTTTCTTTTCTTTTTGGTTACCAGTCATGACTATTTTTTTGTACAACTGTATATATGTATATACTTTGTAAATAATCTCACAGTGCACTTCAAGGCCCAAAAAATACAAACGCATATATTCAAACTAACTGTGTTTTGTCTATTACTACTCAACCTCCTTGAGCGAACCTCAGGTCTTGTGATACTAGTCCAGTCTTAATATTCTTAACTTGTGCTGCTTAAGTCGCTTTTAATTAACAGTAAGTGCTACATAATTGTCTTGTCTCTCGCCAGACCCATGTAGTTTGATGCACTTCACACATGAGTCTGGTACTGAGCCATAGTGGTTGGATTTCAGAAGGCAGGGCCTTGTAAAAAAAATCCTTGTATGTGATTGAATAGACCACTTGTCTGTTATCTTGAATGAAGTCTGCTTTCAACCACTCACATCGAAGCCCGCGGCTCCCATAGGTTGCCAAATCCCAGCAAGATTTTCCAACCCAAAATCCGCGAGAATATCCAGAAAAAAAAAAATACTCAAAATGATTTTTTGGCTAACAACGTAATGTAATCAACTTGGACTATCATGATTCTGTTTATTGTCTTTCTGTTTATTTAATACCTACAAGTCTCTTGGAAAAAAATATGCCGGAACCACCAAACCTGGCAACCCTGCTGCATAGTGTGTAAACAGGAACACTGAACAAGTGCTTCAACCAAACTTTACAGGAACCTTTGACTCTTTTAAAAAGATTTGCGGACTTTACGTGCGCCATCTTGGATTCCTCTCGCTGCTGCATGAGAGAAGCTTGAGAAGGCAGTGCAAACCCCACGTAACACCGGCAATCCTGATTGGTCGATTAAAAAATAATTTGGGGAAGGCGTTCAGCCAAACGCCTCTGGTGGAGCATGGCGGAACTACAAGGGTCTGGCAGAGCCAGGCTAGCTTTGTGTTGCCTTGTGTAGGAATGGCACTCTACAAATAAAAGTTGATTGAATGAATTTCAAGTGTCCTGGATCACCTTTGAACCTCCTCGGCAAAGGAAAAACACAAAAAAAGAAACCCAGATGCAGAAATATATTTGCAATGATTGGAATGATATCTGAGTGAAATAAATGTTCTATTACTCTCCAATTTAACAATGTATTTATTGGTACCATAATTCTGAAACTAGAACTCACAGAGCCGTCATTTTGACTGCTCCCAAACAAACCAATGAAAACCTGAGAAATTCTATTCTTATTAAAAGTAAGTAATATATAAGGCTGTTTTTTTTTCCATACCTAACTTTTATTGTGCTAGAACGGGTACATTTATCATATATAGCAACAACAAAAAATGGTGAAAGGAAAAACAAATGCTAACTTCTGACAGTAAACAGTAACAACAGTGTGTTGCTATGGTTACTAGCACTTTCTCTTCTCTGGTGGAAAACTGTACCGACACAGCTCAAAAGAAGAAACCAGTCCAGGAGCAGCAGAAAAGTTAACTGCCAAAGAAAGATTGTTACCAAGTTGGCTTCATTTGAATTAAAAAAAAAGACAACTTCATAAAAGTTGGGGCAGCTGTAAAGTGCCAAACTGCCGTTGTGTCCTTAGGCAAGACACTTCACCCCCATTGGCTAGAATGAGTCCGGTGTGTGTGATTGGTTGGTGGTGGTTGGAGGGGCCGATGGCACAAACTGGTTGCCTCGCTTCTGCCAGTGTGCCCCAAGGCAGCTGTGGCTGCAGCAGTTTATCACCACTGTGTATGGAGTGAATGAATAATGACATGTAAAGCGTCTTTGATTGTCCAAAAAAGATTGTATAAAAGTGATGCATTATTATTATTATTATTCAAAATTATGATATAGAAATATAGAAACAGAAAAAGTTTACTATCCAAACTACAGTAAAACCCCTTAAACACATCCAGATTAAATATTCGTCATATTTATGTAAAGCCTGAAAGAAACGACAGAACCATTTGAACATACAGTGGCCTCTTGTTTATCACAAGTTTTGTTTTGTGTATAAATAATCTGCACGCCATGAAACAGACACAAGGAAAGCGGGTGAATATCAACGAACAGACTAAGCTGTAGTCTGTTCATTGCTATTCACCCACTGTCCAAAGTGTTTCAGGTTTTCCTAAGACTTACCTTCATAAAATAAATCATATTCCTCTAAAGATTTCTTCATCCGGCCAAACATCACTCAAAATTGCCGCTGTGAATGTCAAATATGTTTTAGCACCAGGGCAGTAAGTGGTTTCAGTATAATTGGACTGTTTTGGCAAAAGTAACTTGTTTTTGTCAGCTGCAGAGCCCTCTTGTGATTTGCCTTCTCAAGTAAAAAAAAAAAATCTATTTTCTGCTTTAAATAAGATCCACTCAATTATTTTTTTTACAGCAAATAATCACAAGAAATGTTGCCTTGGACTTTTATAAATGTTTGATCTGCGACTGGAAATTCACAGAAGAAAATCTCACAAACTTGTCAGAAGAAATGAACAGACAAGGACAATAATAGTAAATATCCTCCGACCCTCTTTCTTCAACAGTAAGTACAATTTATTTATATAGCGCCTTTCAAAGACCAGCCACCAAAGCGCATTTCTGAGAGCGGGGTCGCCAGTACAAGACCTATTGTACATATTTTTAGTGGTAGGGGAAACCGGAGCATCCGGAGGAAACCTACAGACACGGGGAGAACATGCAAAGTACACTCAGAAAGGACCTGTTCCGACCGGGATTCAAACCCAGGACCTTCTTGCTGAGAAACGAGAAAATGCTACCCACCCAGCCAATGTGCTGTGCCGCCCAAAAAAAAAAAACAACAAAAAAACCAAAAAACACCTTTTGTTGATTGATATGTTTGAATTAAAATGTACCCGACCTTCACCTTGACAACCGTTTCAGTCTTACTAATGTAAATCTCGTGACAACATAACCTCAACCTCCTTCAACAAGAGACTTTGAAGTACCATCATTTCGTTTTGCTTGGCTGCTTATACTTGCTAATTGTAGTTTGCGATGGACTCCATATGTTTCCGTAATAAGTCCTGAATGATAAGTAGTGCCATTGTTTACTGCAGTGCTTCTCTCGGGTGGTAATAAAACGACTAAGTTTGCAGCTCAACAACACAAACAAGGTCAGACGGATTGTGCTAATGGCTGCCAGGTTGGATTTGTGAGTGCAATAGGTGGCACGCAAACAGCAATACAGTTATATAGCAGTGGTATACTTAGTAACAGCAGGGATATGATAATAGACTGGCATTTTTAAAGAAGACATATAATGCTTTGGATTGGTTCTCCAGCGAGTTGAATTCCCTGTGGCTTGCCATGTTTTGTTCTGCAGAAAAAATGTGGATATTGGTGGATTCTTGGATTCTGCCACCGCTTTATAATTTTCTTTAGAACCATAACTCACAATGGTCTTTTTGTCAGGCAAGCCAAAGGATAAGACTGGAGGCGTGACATGCTAGCCTGGTCGTACCACACCATAGTACAAATTATATTTCATACTAAGGTCTGGAGGTGCTCCATTGAGCTCCGTGAACCGGGAGGGGTTAACTCCTTTTGCAGATTGAAACGATCGGATCTGAGTTTACCGTCACATGTGTAATGCGCCAGAGTGAGTCGTTAGCATTTAGCATTTAGCCTAGCCATCTCCTTTGCCGCTAATGGAGCCCGTGGGGAGTAGCGCCACAATCTTTGCCAGCAATGACTTTTGTTATACATTCCTCTTGGTCTGGCTTTATTTTCTTGATAGAACTAGACACAACTAGGGATACTTTTACTATCGCATTCGTTGCCATTGCCAAACTACAGGCGGCCTTTTTGGTGCTAACTCTTGACGTTACCCAAAAAACCCAGGGATCAGACCCATACGTTACATACAGGGAATTGATGATTGACCGGAGTGTAGGGATGGCTAAGGCCAGGCTAGTGTCATGGTGGCAAAAGGAATTAAACCCAAAACGCAGAACTGCAACAATGATGGATATTTTTAAAAGTATAAAACAAAACAAAATCCAGAGAAAACAACAGAAAAAGTAACCAAACAGGGACTTACGACAAGAGCTCAGACATGGAATGACAATGACAGAAAAGGAAGTGAAAGAATACACAGGGTTTAAACACACAAGACTAACGAGACACAGGTGATACACGAGAGGGTAATCAGAAACAGGAAGTAGAACTGAGGAAGATACACAGGGAACAGAGGCGGTCAGCACTAGTTCATATACGGAATCGGGATCGAAGTGGTAGTAAATATAACCAACTGCCTAAACTTAACCAGCCACTCCCATAACACCACCCTTAATCCAAACCTTAACCCTCTTACTAAGACACCTAAAACTTCACCAGTCATGTATCCATGATCTACAGTCTAAAGCTATTTCGAAAGTAGGATTGTTGCTTCCGCTTCCATCCCGATTCCATATATAATTAAGTAAGTAATATTTATTTATATAGAGCATTTTACAGACCAAGGTCACCCAAATGTACATTATGTTTTTTGGGTTTGGCACTGTGTCCTTTACTCATTTCTTCAAACTATATATTGCATTGTCGTTGCCCAAGGCCTCACACAGATCTGACAATTCTGTAATGTTTTTGTACTTTGTCTAAAAGTTTATAATAAAGCCAATTCATTATGCATGTTTTTTAGTATTTTTTTTCAGTGTGCACTTTTATTCACAGAAATGTATTTTTGTCAAAGCTAATTATCACCTTTAGTGATCAGAAGTCTCTATAAAAGCAATGCCTCTCTGTCTGACCTTAGATTATCTGCAAAAAAGCAGTCATTTGCATTCGTTTGAAAGGCAAAAAGCAAGAATAAAACCTTTTGTTTATCCTGGTGGGAAACTTTTTAAAATAATTATGTGGGACA